CCGCGGAGCGGGGAGCCTGATGTGGGGCTCGATCCCAGGACCCTGGGATTATGACCTGAGCTGAAGGCAGATGCTTAACAACTGAGCCACCCAGGTGCCCCAACAGTATATTCTTTAAGTAGAAATACATTTATTACTGCTTGACTTTTTAAATATGATTTTCATTACTTTTTGTTTCCTTTAACCAAGGACATGTACATTTACTGAAGTATATTTTTCCATTAGGTATAAATGAGAATTTGAGCAGAATCCAAGTTTAAGACTACATTCTTCAGCCTGGCACCTGCAGCCTGCTGTATCCTGGCCTGACCTCACCTTTGTCCCGTCCACTGCTGCCATTGCTCGGGCCCCTTGCCTGGCCTGCTCCTACGGGAGCATGCCACTCCCCCCTGCCACATGGCATTTCTCCCCTGGCTCAGCCCTCTCTCCTAGCCCTGTGTATCCAAATCCTCCCACCGATGGGCAATGCCATGCTGAAGGCTGGACAGCCTGAAAAATTCCCCAAACTCGATCATGTGTTCTAGAACACACATTTTCATTTGGTCTGTGTGTTTCAAATATTTTCTTCTGCTACTTCACTTCATTTATCCTCTTAGGTTCTTCTGTCTCCTGACTCCTTTACTTTTCATCTCCCTCCCTCATATTTGACTTTCTTTTCCAGAGTCTTTCCCTGAGCTCTTACAATTGGAAAAAAGTCTTCACAGGATCGCTATGAAGTACAGTAGAATATCTGAAATGTTCTTTTCTACCAGACAGAGAGAATCTGTTCCTAACACTTGATGGTACACGTTATAATTCTAAGGAGGAGAGTAATTCTGAGAGTATCCTTTGAGCCAGGTCACAGCTATCTCTAAACATAAGGCAATTTTTATAAAGATAAGAATACTCACAAAGTAATTTTTAATAAAAGATAACAACAGGGGACCTGTGCCAAAATTTTAGCTTGAAATTTCTGAAGTAATTCTGAAAGGAATTTCAGAGTGGCAAAAGACAGGCTGTTTACTCCTCTAAGGGCTGCTCCTGGTTTTACCCTCCTCCTGTCCTCTTCCTTACCTCCTTACGTTTTATAGTTCATTATCAACCAAAAATATTTACTGAGCATTTACCATGTCCCATATACCAGGGACTGTGCTACATGCCAAGGATCCATTGGAAAGCAAAACAGAAAATAGTTTTTGTCCCACAGAGCTGAAGGCCAGTGGAGAGAGAAAGTCATAAAGCAAGTAAATGTACACTTCACTATGAAATTGCCAATTACGATAAATACAAAGAAGGATGAGAAAAGGGTGTTACGTGACAGAATAGTAATGGGACATAATTTATCTAAGTGCAGCTGGTCACAAAAGGCCTCTATGTAGAAATAACTACTTTAAGCTGAAACCTGAAGGCTGAACAGGAATTAACAAGGCCTTTCATTGATCTTTTCTTCCACATTTCCTCCCAATGCTTCTACCTGGAAATGTGCTCTCATGATTACAGAAGGTTCCCCTGCAAGTGGAAAGAGTAACTTCCAAGAAGAAGAAACATATCTCTCAGACTATTAACAACTCCAAAACAGGTATTTGGCAGGAGAGGCTGACGTAGCGTGTGGTCACGTTTCCTAAGCAACAACATCCTTATTTTTGCATTCATCCTCCTATTTCTTGGTTTTGACTTACTTTTTTCTAGACTCTCATGATGATTATACTCATAATTTAAGCAAGAAAGTTCTTTTGTGTATCTTTTCCTGTAAGTTGAATCAGTGTGAATGGGATTATTGAAAGGAACATGCTATTAAATTCTGGCTGGGCCACCTGACTCCATCTAAAGTCCAGGAAATAAATAGCTATGTTAAAACATGAAACATCACTTGAAATTCTTCACATGTTTTGGGGCCATAAAACCTCATATTAAGGAGGTAAATTATATGAATCACTATATAAAAAGTAAAAGGAGCAATTCAATACTTTGGTCTTAACACTAAAATGAAAAAATAAATTTCACTTACCTTTGATTTTTTGACGTCTTTACTTGGTATTGATTCACTATCTTCCAGGACTTCTGAAGAACTGCTCTTTGCACGGTTATGCATGTTTCCTATAATAGAATATATTGAGAAATATGTTTTTCTAATAACGAGAAGAAGCAAAGTCCTGATGCCCTCAGTGCAACGCTATCAAGCCTGACCTATGGGGTAGTACTACAGAGAGCGTATCACTACCGCTGAGGCAGTAGACAAGGTCTCTACTTCATAGTTCCTAGAGGGCTGAGTTAAGGCAAAAAAGCCCAGAATGACCCGACCAGTGTTGGAGATGTTTGCATGACAAGTACCCAAACACAGCTACAAAGGTAACAGTGAGTGTCAGGAAAGAGTTCTGTAAAATATAAATTACCTTTTTAAATTAACCTAGTTATAATTAAATTCTTTGTACTCAAATGGACATGTTACTTTTTGGTGTTTCAAATTCATCCACAAGTTATATAACGGAAAAATAATCTTTAAAGTATACTCATGAAGTATATGCATTCTTCTAATTTTATATTATCAACTACTTAAATCTTACTTTTAATTAGTTGCAAAGAATACTTACAGACACTATTTTAGTAAAACTTACTACTCTGTTGAAGTTAGAAAGAAAAAAGCATGAAGGGAAGTCCTCCTCCTCCTGCCTAAGTTCAGATCAGATATCTACTACTATGAATGGTTATTTTTAATGAGAACACAGCAAAAAGCACACTTTGATGTGATGGTGTGGAACATAATATAAGGGTTGTACAGCAAAACCCAGATGATCTGGCTGTAGAAAATGTAGGTCTCCAGGGTAGTCGCAGTCCCCTCTATTCTGTGGCACCTGTTTTCCGACACCAACAGTCAGGCCTGGGAAAGGACCTGTCTTAAATGTCCACGATAAGATGAAAGACCCACGTCTGAGCCCTGGGGGAAATAACGGGATGGCCAGCCGTAGCTCCAGGCCAGCCTGGTCTTTAGCAGTGGGGTCTGGCAGTGCCCACCAGAGACATAAACTGAGATGGGGGACAAAAGCCCAACTTAATACTACTGGTTGAAAAGGAAAAAAAGGGTAGTGAAAAGCCTGTCCTGAACCACTTAACACTGATACACGAGTAGCTGGGAGTGATGCGAATATTTTATATGAAGAAGCCGTGGTGGTGATTAATGAGAACAAGTACTCCTGTGTCACGTATTTCAGCGCTTGTCATGAGGCCCATGTGACAGTAAAAGGCAGGAAGCAGAATACACGTCTGTAGGCTTTAGCGCCTCAGCTACAGCATATGCGTGCGTACATATGCATGCATGCGTGTGTGTATGTTAAAGTAGCTGGCCTTCTGAAGTCAAATGTGTTCACACCTTTTGGATTTTCATTGTATTCACAAATAGCCCGTTCCTCTTGGTTGGTTTTCTCGTCCTATAAATGATAAAGAAACAATATAATAAAAAACATAATTGTGATGGGCTGGAAAACATCATCTGGGTTTTAGGCAAGGGTTCTCGAGTCAGCCTCTAGCTAACAACATAAACACGTGACTACTGCTTCACTTTGCTGGGCTTTTGCCTCAGATGCTGAGTGACTGCTAACGTCCCTTCTAGCTTTAAGTTTTTGGATTCCAAAATGTTGTATGATTCAAGAATTCAACTCCAAGAAGATTCGGGAACGTTAGTTGGTAAATGAATTGGCTCAACATTTTACACTGTCAAACTGGAGTTTCAGGAATTCTATGTTAAAGAATTTCAGGGACTACCCAAACTGGAACTCATAAATATTCCTTATAAATCTTTCCCTCCCTCTGAAAGAAAACAGTAACGGCTAGAAGCTTTTTTTTTTTTTTCCCTCAGTGAGAGGAAGGAGTCTTGAGAAAGGAATTAAGAAAATGATCTCGATAGCACAGCCCCATTTTGTAAATTAAAAATACATGCACATGAAACAACACAGGTTTACAAGTACACATTCAAATAAAAGGATAAGCGTGTTTCAGTGGTTGTCTGTGTTATGGAAAAGGAGAACACAAAGGGAATAAATTTAAATAAAGAGAAGCCTTGCGCAGACCAAAGATGCAAGTGATTCATCAACAAGAAGGTATGATTAGAGGTACAAAAACTGAAAATGAAAACGAATCGACATAGTGTCATTTTCAGTTTCGTTTTCTGAATTCTGTACCTATGAAGTTAACCCAGAGCAACATTAGCAAATGAATGATTTCAAACCTATCAACTGTCTCCTAGCAGTGTCCCTCTTGGACAAAACTGCCAAAGAGAAGAGATGTTTCTGGCATCCCTAGCTCCACTTTTAGGATGACTTCCTCTTCCTCAGTGATAGCTCCCCCTTTTCTTCCTATAATTCCTCTCTTCTACACCACATCTGTACAGAACTGATCACAGCCTCAAAGACCGCTGTGAACAGCTTTCACTTGTCCACATACATGTAAATATACACATGTATGTGTGCACACACCCACGCCTCATTCCTGCCACCAGTATAGGGCTCCTAACTTTGTAATTTGATCATTTCAAGGACCCAGTGCTGAACTTCTCGGTTAATTTCTCAACAGTATATTGTACTGGCCCATATCAGTTCATTTCCACTCAAGCGGGGAACAAACTGCTACCAAGAAGTGTGGAAAGGGTGTTAGAAACAAAGTGTGCCTGATTTATAAATCTGCCAAAGCTTTTCCTATAGCGCATGAACCAAGTTATTCAGAGAAGTATTTCTGCTCCCAAAGGAAGCTGGAGTCTGCCCTCTGCAGAGACCATGGAACTTGCTCTTCGGCAGGATCTCAGGATTTAAGCACATATCATCATACCTTTTCAGTGGTGTCAATCAATACCTTTTTAGCTGAGTTGTCATTGGCTTCATCCGCTGGTATGTTCTTCTTGCCTTCCGGATATTCATCAATTTCCTCATCCATGTCCTCTAGTTCTTCATCTGAAAATTCATGATCCTGTGTCAAAATTGATAATCAGGGAAGAGATAAGATTTTCTTTTTTTAAAAAAAACAGATTTGATATTGCAGTCATAAATAATTTATATCATCTCAAAGAATATACAGAATACGAATTCAAATACTGAAGGCAAAGAAATAAAATGCTGCATAACCTATCGTGCATATCAAGTTACTATATTACCAAGGCTTTTCCGCACATTGATCTATTTCAACATTTTCAATGACTAGGATTCCCAAAATTCTATTAGCGTCTACTACAAGGTTAAAATGGAAAAAAAATTAAATGTGCTTTCTGAGCTGTCTCAAAAGAATGCTTTTAAACTTTAGAGAAGTTAAAAAGCTTTCTACTGTAGCATTATAACATAATCATATCTATATATTATGCTCATTTTCCAAAACATAGGGATTTAAAATCACTTCAGAAGTACAATTCACTGATATTCACGAGAGAGAGTTAAGTATAATTACTTACATTCCAGGAAGAAGATAAAGGGACATAGGCAGTTTAAATGGTTTGCTCTCGGTTATTTAAAGCAGAGGGAAAACCAGAGGCAGAACTTAGTCTATCTGGTCCTGTCCAACTAATCCAAATTATAAGACAGCCTGTCTATGGATTTGATAGAGTAAATCATGTAATACTAAATATAGGCGAAAAATATTAGTTATATTCTTTATTCTATACTGAGTTTTTTTCACAGTTTCATATTTTGGGTGGAATACTGCTTATTTTTTTGTCATTAAGAGATCAGGCTCCTTATTGGACTTTTTTTCCTATGCTTTTCATTTATGCACTTCTCTAATGGCCCCTAAAATAGGTGAGGCAGTAAGTAATTAATGCCCTTTACTCCCTTGAGGGATGTTTTTACAAAGTTCACCTCGCCATATTTGCCTCAGACGATATACACCCTTTATATCCCTTCAACACAGTAACTAGCTTCTCATGGTTCACCTTCCTAGTTGCTGTTTGGCTAAGGATGAGCTGGACACCCAAAAGAATCTTTAGTGGGTGGTTTGAAAATAATACCTCTCATAATTAACTCACCTTTCTTCTGGCAAAATACCAAATGTGAGAGTTCAGGCTAGGGTGACTTACTGTTACTTAGTAACAGACGTTAAGTGGCATCCTCAGGCCAATAGCACTAAGGGTGTGGCCTGATAGCATTTTCACCAAGGACAAGCAATCCAGAAGTGAAGCCTGGAGATTTAAGAGTTTCGGCAGTTACGCAGTTACGCTGAGAGGGCTTGACTTAGGTTAAGCAAAGGTCATGAGGCGGTGCATGTGGGAGGGGAACACAGAGAGGAAAACAGGGTACCAGGGTAGACAGCTATATTAAAGGATGTGCTGCACGTTTAGGTTGGGTAGGGTTAACTATGAGGTAGCTACCATTTACCAATAATTTCTAAAGCTTTCTTTTTTTCTGCATAATTTCCCCTCTAAGTGACTTATATTGCATATTTATGCCGAGCCAGAAGCACATAGAAGGTAAAATGATCAGAGACTACTTTGGAGGGGAATGGGAAGCAAGATTAACTAGATTTAAGATTTATGGCTGATAGATAGATGTAGTCATGAATGTATATAAACGAAGGCCAATTGGAAAGAACAGTGTTCCCAAGACAGAGAATTTCAGACTCTGTCCGTCTGTCTCCCACAGGGAGGGGTCAGTGAGCTGTGTTGCAGCAAAGTCCTCTTCTCTTGGAGAATTCTGCTAGTTTAGCACCTGGGTCAACTCCCATCGTGCTAGTTAACTAAGATATTAATGTAACCATAAGACAATATCATGCTATTATAAAAAGGAACATGACATTTTATCTTATTTTAGAAATAAGCAAAACACTCATTTCTTATAATGAACTATAAATTTACTCATAACTTTATGAAAATCTGTAACAATGAGTAACTGCTGGAACGGTATCATTTTCTAAATTTGAGAAAGCTCTTAGAAAACATTTTCACTAGAAATCACATCAGTTGTAGAACTTTGCACTTAAGCACATTCAGAATTAATCTATTCACATCTGGACAACTACTCTAAATCACAGTACTTACCTTCAAACTGAAACAATTTAGGAGAGATTGGCAGAATACTGTCATTTTACAAAGAGAAAGGGCAAAGTTTAAGTACATTCTTGTCACCAGAACCACATAAGACGTTAAGTAGTCTAGAATGGTCAACGGAAACACGTCTTGTGTTGGGACCGCAGGAGCGAAGGGAAGGGGGCCTGGCTCTTGCAGAGGGACAGTTGTCTTGCTGGTCAGGCACAGCACTGGGAGCTGCAGTCTTGGGTGTGGCCCAGGGCCACATTTCTTATGGGAAATATCAAGAAACCGAAATGTTCCTCATGAGGTTTCAGTTTGCTTAAGAATACTACATTGCATACTGGAGAAACTTGAGGTTGCTCTCAGCAATTGGCATAGTGGTCATCTGGGGGGATGAGAAATGCCTGGAAGGGGGTTTGAAGGGAAGCCGCTGGGGAGCGCTCTACCTTGATCTGGGTGTTGACTATGTGGGCGGGTTCACCTTGTGGAAAATGCACTGAGCTATACACGCACAAGATATGCTCTTTTCTAGATGTATTATATTTCAAGAGTTTTAAACAAGTTTTTTAAAGCGACTATAAAGTATAAAATTTTGTGCTACAATTCTCAATTTATGAGATGCCTCAATGTCATATAGGGTAGACAATGTTTTCCAAATAGGTTAATAGAGCATAAAACCTTATATCTACATAATACCACGTGGGGAAATGTATATATTTAAAATCTCAATCTCAAGGCTTTTAGGACAAGAAGGGTTAACATGGAAGTTCATGTTTTTACTGCACTGGAACTCACTGAGGCAGGAAGAGAGAGCGGGGAGGGCATTCAGTACAAAGACCTAGGTACTGCTATCCAAGCTCTGTACCATCAGCCACGGCCTGAGCAAGGGGTCTAATAATATTACTTTACAGTCTCTCTGTAGAATGGGAAAATGACACCAGCAATACCTACCTCAGAGGGTTCGTATCAAAATTAAAAAGATTATTTACAGAGAAAATAACACAAGCAAACAATGAGCATCTGTATATAAGTGATTTTAAGACTCCCTAGTATACACTGAGGGCCATCAAAAAACAAGATGCTTGGGCACCTTTTTGCCATAAAGTCCCAGATCTTATCACTAGAAAATAGTTGACTTAAAGTGTTCACGTATTTGTTCTACCCTCTCGCACAGCTCCCTTTACTGTCTGCCAGGAGCCCAGCAGCTAGAACAAGCAAGGGAAGAAAGCAGGACCCATCAGGAGCAGCCTAGGACGACAGGGAAGTGGAGGGGCGCCTTGGCTGGACTGTGGGCCAGTGCTGCCTCAGGTCCAAGTCAAGTCCAGAAAACACTGCTACAGTATAAAGTTTCCCAGTATTTCAGCGTTGGCAATGGATTCAAGCGTTACCAAAATCACTGTGTATACCAAGCGAAGTGAGTCTGCAAGCCAGGCTGCACCGAAGGGCTCCCAGTTTGACCTCCAAATTATTGCCTTCTAATGTCACTACTTTACAATCTCTAAACTCCCCCTCCTTTCTATGTACCAATCCCTTAGTTCATTCCTAATCTGGTATTTTTGCCACAAAATCCATTCCAGTTTGACTCTTGTAAGCAGGCCTGCAAAAGTGGCTACAATGCTGAGGATACAAACTTCTTGCTGGTAGGCAATTTTACTCTTTATGTTTGAGTTATTTTTTAACCTATTTTGATAAAAACATTAGGACACAGGGAAATCTGTCGTCCCGTACCATCAGCCTTTCACCACGCTTCAAATGTTGAATGGCAGTACTGGACCCACGTATGGTGTGCAGACTTTCACTCTACCCTATATTTAAGGGGGTTATCATTATTGTTACTTACTTCATTCCCACAGATCTACTTCCATAAGCCAATTTTGGGGAGGGGGCAGCTATGTTGTACTTAAACAGAAGTCAGGTCCACATGACTAGATGTTCATGCACATCTGTCAGTGACCTGGAGATTCCTGAGGGTAGTTCTGTACCTGACTTGATGTGGTCAGAGGGGTTAATTAGAGGGACACGGGTTACCATTTGCTGAGTACCTCTAACATGTTTCATGTGCTAACTAATTTAACTATCCAAAGACCCCTCCCTTTATAAAAAGAAATAAATAAGACTCAGAAAGGTTAAAAAAAAAAGAAAAGCTTTTCCAGGTGTCCACACAGCTAATCTGTGAAGGGCTGGGGTGTGAATCCAGGCCTACTGGGGGCCAGTGCCCAGGCTCTTTCCCGGCTCTGCTCAAATACCTGAAGACCAGAACAGGTGCCCTCAGGGCTGTTTCCCCCCCCCCCCCCCGCCCTGAAACTGACAGCTCTGTAGTCTCTTCCTTTCTGCTGATCAGCTCACTTCGACAACATCCTGTGCTTATATACCCTTGTATATAGTAATAGCAAGTGCAAGTCTAAGGTGTTTTCCCCCAGGGCATCAGAGTCCCTGACTCTAAGGCAGCCTTCCTGGAGCTCCCTCTTTGCTGGCAATGTGAGCTCTGGCCAGCCTTCTGCTGGGCCTCTCCCAGACCTCTCTGCAGCCCTCCACCATGCCTTCCTTGGCTTGGGTGGCACCTCTCTTTCCTAGAAAGTGTCCCTACACCGCCTCCTTCTCAGACTTCCCTTTCTCAACCTCCCCATTAGCTACTGAGGTTTCCTCAAACTCTGTCTTCAGTTCTCTTCTTCTCGTACTATGAGTGCTGCCTCTCACTCAACTTCATGGTTTCAATGACCCCTAAAAGCTGGCGATACCCAGCAATCTCCCCTGAGTTCCAGGCCCACACATGTATCTGTCCGCTGAACATCTCCTGGGTCAACAAGCCCAAGCAGGCTCCTAAACCTGCCCCTACTCCTGTTCTCAGCCTTGGCCAATGGCGCCCTTTCCACCCGGCTCTTCACACAGAAACAGGAAAAGCTTGGCCTTCTCTCTCCCTCCAAGTTGCATCTCTTTACTAAGCCCTCCAATTCTATCCCTAAAGCTCTCTTGATAACACATGTCCCCAACTCTGTCCACACTGTCTAGTCCCCTCTTCTGTCTCTGCCTGCTCTCCTCGAGCTGCCTCCTAACTGGCACCCCTGGCTCTGGTCTTGTTCCTCTCCAACCCACCCTCCATATTGCTGCCAGACCGTTACAAAAGCCCAAGTGTGATCACCTTACTGTTGCTGTTTAACATCTTTCAAAAACACATTAAGGTCCTTTGCCTCTCTACCCAGAACCAAAAGACACTCTTAAGTTGTGGTCACACTGAAATACTCTCAGGGCTCCCATCAACTGGGAAAGCCCTGCCCCTGCCGCTTGCATGACTCGCTTTTACTTCTCACGACTCAGCTGACATTTCCCCGTTGCCCCCTGGAAGCCCTTTCCTAGCCCTTCTCTGCTGAAGTGCAGAAGTGGCTGCTCAAGTGCCACTCCTGAAACGCTCTATTGTCTGGGTAAAGTTTCTGGTCAGCCTATAGAAACAGCCAAGAGTCCCCTGAGATCCGGAACTGTATCTTCCTCTCGGCATACTCAAGGCACAAAACCACTGTCTTCTTAATTAAGGGACTTCATGAAGGAAAGCAAAAGATTTGTTTTCAGATCATATTTTTATCTTCGGGTAGCCCTGGCTAAAAAGAACACGGGAGTGGGGGTGCGGGATAGATCAGGTAACTAAAGGGCATTGTTAAGTCATAGTTAAAGGCAGGGCCATGGGAACTCCTTTTACCTGGTGTCCTTTCAAGACATCTGTACCCACCTAATGTCCCTGACAGGTAAAAGGGCCACAGGAGGCTGCCTGTAAGCGGCCCTCGTTTCTTGAGCTCTCCCTGATTTGGGAAAGCTTCCGTTCCCTTTTGGGTGCTTGCCATGTACATGCTTATTTGTTGAGTGAACAGTATGTACCAGATATTAAGTTACAGGTCAGGGACACTGGGAAGAATGAAGGAAGAAGGAAGTACAGCACCTTCCTCTATGGTAGCATTTTATCTTGAATGTATACGTGTAGAGCAAGCTGACCTCTATAACGCAATTACAAAAAACATTTCATTGCACTCACCTCAAGAGTTACTGGTTTGGCAGCAGCAGATGTTTCTGTGATACTCCTTTGTAGCTTACCTGAAAATATTTTTCTGCCAGAGTCCTCATTTGAAACTGTAACTCAACGGATTCTACACACACACCCCTCACGCTGGCCTCAGTAATAACCAGTGAGAAACTACAATAAAAGCTTGATCCACCAGCAGATGGGGACAATAAAGAAGGAACCAGTTATTCTGATCTGTTTTACCAAGTACTAACTCACATCTCAAAATGACGAGGCCCGTGCTCTTGACCAGAACACTATGCCTGCCCGAGCTACTGCTTCAAAAAGAGCATACAACACTTTGGTTGGCCAGGGAAATGTGAAGAAATGGGTGGGAAATGTGAAGAAATGGGTAGGAAATGCTGTTTGAAAGTGGCTCTCTAGGCCAGCTCAAATACTGAGATGGGCACATGCTCAGAACACCATTTCAGTGTTGCTGGCTGGTGAGGTCTCACCTTTGACATTAACAACTTGAGGGTTAAGAGTTTCTTTTCTCCCTGAAGGCTTTTCCTTTATGAACTCCATTCTATCGTTCATCTCAGTTCATCATTTTAAGTCAACGTTTTAAATAAACATGTTGGGCCCTAGCATTAACAACACAGCGCACACACTTGATCAAAGCACCAATTCCATTTCACTGACCGTCACTGAATGTGGCAGAATTTGATAGAACCCTGCAATGCCAAATTAGCGTGTTTGGTTAGTTAGGGGAAGCGACCAGAGATCCCTGAAGCTAAAACAAAACCTACAGTTGCTCCTAGGAGTTTCTTCTCTTTGTATTCTAGTCTTTCCCCCCATATTCTTTCTCACAGAGAATCAAATGTGCACAGGATTCAACTACACAAAATTCACAGGAAGTTTACCATCCAGATTCTCCTTGCTAAAAGTAGAAGAAATCCCTCATGCCCAAGATATGGAAGGGACTGGGGTGGGAAACCAGTTGAAAAGGGAGCTATGAATAAAGAACAGTCAAATGATCTAGCTGTATGAAAAATACTGAAAGTTTTAAGGGAAGATTGAATTTACACTAATCGAAATCTAGCCTCTCGAAAATTCAGTATCTAGTGTTAGTTTCTCTTTCCACAAACAATTACTGATGGTATACATTTACATTTTATTTTACTTGAAACATTCTGACAAGCAACAAACAGAATTACAGAATAGTCAATGAAGAACACACTGAGGGTACATAATAGACACTGGGAATGACGATTCTGATAGTACAGTTAAAGCTCAGAAGTTATAGTTTAGAAATACAGAATGACAGAACACAAGATACATTAAAGCTCTTCCTAAGTTTTTAAGAGTAAAGAACAATATATAATTTATAGAAAACTCAATTAATTTTAAAGTGCAATTTTTCTTCTAACTGAAAAAACTTTTATGCAAATGACAAACACAATGGGAGTAAATCAGCCTGTTAGAACAAAAGAATCTGAGAGTTAGGAGGGACTATAGTTCTATCATCTAATCCGCTCCATTTTACACGTGAGGAAACTGAACCCCAGTGAGGAGCTCTGCCTGGCTAATAAATACTTACAAGTTTTACATACTTCCCAAATATATGTTTAGGTTCACCTCCATTTCATGAGATATACTGCCATTTGTCCAGACAGTAACTAAAAGACATCACATTAAGATCTAAGCTCTGAATCCAGCTGACACTTGGTAGATTGTTGCAAAAAGGACACATAAAAGGTAAAAAAAGAGCACTATTTTTTTTTAAATGCGAATTCTTCATTTTAGCTTTACAATACCATCCACCTTATAAAATTATTCTACGTAGTAGGCACATTGAAATCAGAGACCAAAAGAAACTCGTAAGAAATGAGATGTTTTTATAGCCTTGAAGGATCTGTGCCATCTTTAAAGGGACCAGTTTGTATATACAAATGCAACATTCTTATAGTATACTCTTTCCTAACTCTGTCTTTAATAAGGAATATATAATGTTAATTATCTGCTATGACCTTTTGATATTTTCTAGTGACAGATTTATAATTTGGGGGGAAAATATACCAAAATATTAGTTTAAGAGGAGCCAAATTTACCAGTGCTTTGTGTTGTCTTTATCAGTCTATATTGTACCACACATAAAGTAACCATGACAAAAAGCAATTTAATAAAACATATTAAGTGCCTATTACGTGTAAGATGCTCAAACTGTTGGCTGGTCAACAGTTTTAAATTTAAAGTTTGTTACTTCAATTCTAGATAATGTGGTAATACATTATTCCAGAATCTTTTGGAACCTGGTGGCCCATTTTCTAAAAGTTGTTTTGACCGCACTGGCATTTTGAACCTCTGTACCTCATGCTCTTTCCCTTTGCCCTCTGTGTTAGTAATAAACTTTGGGGGGTATGCCTTATCTTTGTCATATTTCACAGATCCTCTGATTTTGCTTGCTTTGTTGGACCCTTTTCCTTCACCCGGTCTTCCCTGCTTTTCACTCTCTTCATCTCCTGTCTCCTCGTATTTCCCCTCTTCTTCCTCAGTGTCCTCCTCTTCCCTCTCCCTCACTCCCCACTCTGCTTCTTCCCCCTCACCCTCCCCTTCTTCCTCTCCTTCCTGGTCCCCCTCCCCTTCTTTCTCCTCCTCCTCTCTTTCCTCCTCCTCCCCCTCTCCTTCCCCCTCCCCCTCTTCTTCCTCTTCCTCCCCTACCTCCTCTTCTCCCTCTCCTTCCTCTTCTCCCTCCCCCTCTCCTTCCTCCCCTGCTTCCCCCTCTTCTTCCTCCTCCCCTGCTTCCCCCGCTTCTCCTTCTTCTTCTTCCCCCTCTCCTTCTTCCTCTCCTTCACTTTCTCCTTCATTCCCTTCCCCATCTCCTTCCTCCTCTGCTTCCTCCTCTCCTTTCTCTGCTTCTCCCTCTCCCTCCTCCTCCCCTTCATCTTCTCTTTTCTTCCCTTCCCCCTCTCCTTCCTCCTCCACTTCCCCCTCTCCCTCTCCTTCCTCTTCTTCCTCCCCTTCTCCCTCTCCTTCCTCTTCCCCCTCTCCTTCCTCCCCTTCTCCCTCTCCTTCCTCTTCCCCCTCTCCTTCCTCCCCTTCTCCCTCTCCTTCCTCCTCCACTTCCCCCTCTCCTTCTCCTTCCTCCCCTTCCCCCTCTTCTTCTCCCTCTCCTCCCTCCTCCCCTTCACCTCCTCTTTTCGTCCCTTCCCCCTCTCTTTCCTCCTCCATTTCCCCCTCTCCTTCCTCCCCTTCCCCCTCTTCTTCTTCCTCTCCTTCCTCCTCCGCTTCCCCCTCTCCTTCCTCTTCTTCTCTCCCCTCTCCCTGTCCTTCCTCTTGTCCTTCTTCCTCTTTCCTTTCTCCCTCCTCCTTGCCTTCTTCCTCCTCCTCTTCCCTGTCTTCTTCCCCTCCTCTCCCCCCCTCCCCTTCCTTCTCATCTCTTTTCTCCTCCCCTTCTCCTTCCTCCATCCCTTTGTTTCTTTCTTCCTGATGGCCTCGTTCCCCCTCCCTTTGCTCCTGGCCCTCCTCCTCTTCTAGGTCTTTCTCTCCCTTACCCAGGCCCTCTATTTCTCCTCCTCCCTTGTCTTCCTCCTCTTCTTCCTCCTCACTTTGCCTCTGTTCCACTCCTGAATTTCCCTCCCACTGGATTCCCTCACCTCCACCTCCTGCCTTTCCCTTGCCTTCACTCACCTCTGCTCTGTCTGTCAGGACATCTGACAGGATGTCTATTTCCTCCTCCTGTTTTCTTGCTGGCACCTTCACATTTTCCTCACTTGCCTCTACCTCTTGCTCCTCTATTCCACTTCCTTCTGAATCCTCTGCTCCTTCCTGCTCTTCGGGGATCTCTGACAAGTGGTCACACTTAAAATCATATCTTGCCATGAATCTGGACATTTTGTGTTCAGCCTCTTCCTCATGTACTTGTTCGAGAAATTTTCTGCTATACCACAAGTTTTGCTCAGTTTCCACTTCGTCATCCTCATTCTCTCCACTACTAAATTCTACTGACTCGGGCTGCTCGAAGCTGTCAGTGGTACCTTGCTGACTTGCGCTTTTGCCTTCCAAGTAACTGTCTGTCTCCTCTATAGATTCTCTTTCGCTGTCAAAAATCACATCTCGCTTATTCCTCTTACTGTCCTTAACAAAATCGTTACTGTCTTCATCCTCAATATTCATGTCTCTATTTGGTAAGTCAAAGAACATATCAATATTTCTTAAATTCTCTTCGCTTTGTCTCCTAGCCTTCAGATCTGCCATTTCCGCCAGCTCAGTTTCCTTCTCAGAGATTGTTTCTTTTGCGTCTGGATCCTTCTGTCTTTGGCCTCCATCACTTGCCTTTGCTATTGCCTTACTGTCAGGTGGATAAATACAGTGCTTACTTTCACGTCTAAATAGCTCTCTTTGCACACCCTCTGCACGGGTGTCAGCCCGAGACCCAGGCTGGCCCGAGTCATTATCTGAAAATGCTTCCATAGTCATAGCTGCTTGCATCATGTACATTCCTTTGGCCAAAAGTTGTTTATAGGCTTTCCCCTCTTTCACTGTTTTAGACATCTCGTCACTTGCAAATCCTTTACTATCATCATGTCCAGAGTGAGCTGTACGCTGCTTCAGTTTCTCAATTGTTTCTTGTTTCTGTAAATTTTTGAAGTAATCGTCAAACTACTATTAGTTGACAAAGGTAACTTATCATCTACTACAAAACACTGCCAAGATTTTGCATTACTCTAAGTTTCGCTAGCAGAATAAAAATGTCCAGTTTTACCAGACATTTTGCTCAGATTTGGCTTTTGCTGGAGATAACTTCTGCCACTCTCTGAGTCTGCAGCACCTTGGATTCTGCTGTGGCACACATGTCTGCATGCTCACTGCCTGCTCTCAGGATGCCACTACTCACACAGGACCATCAGTATGTCTTCTCTACCCCTTTTCTTAATCTGAATCAAGTCTTAAATAGAATACCTTTCCAGACTGTGCAAAATACTGGTAAAAAAAAATGTACACACTTCTCTTGCATGCAGTTGGGTTCAGTTTCTTTTCCTACCTTCCCTGTTATTTTAATTATCAAATTTTGATTGGTCTTTTAATTCCATGAAATTCACAGAATTAAAGAAAATATGAAAATGTTAAATATTGGAAAAAATGAATAGCTTACTTCTACAAGAAAAATCTGAAATGAAAACTACAAATGAAATCTTTTTATCAGCATACTAAATAATATGTTTCTTTTCAAATTACTGACCCTCTTCCTTTTATCTATTATATTCTTTAATTATCATAACTTGCATACATGAAACTAACCACTATGTGGAAAAATATCTAGGGTAAAATGTTAAGATTTTTATAAAAACTATGAAATTAAACACTGCAATTTGAATGATACATTAAGAATATGAAATTCATTTCTTGCTGGACAAAATAAAACAAAAATCAAATTGTTGACCTAAATTCTGTAAGCTAATGAATTGAAATATTTGATGAATTTGCATCTCTGGAGAGTAAAACCTCACTGAATCAAGTGTTACAAATTGTCGTGACTGCTAGGCTTAGGAAGAGGTCATTTTTTTGCCAAAAACACCAAAAATTAAAACAGCACAAGTTAAACATCAATATATGGAAATATTATAATAAATCTTTTTTTCATTCACTAAAATAAGTCTGGTTGGGCCTCTACTTAAAAGGACTATGTGAAGTATAAAATATGTATCAGTTTAAAAGGAAGCGCTGAGCTTTGCGCAGTGGCAGTATTGTAGCCAATGAGGTTTATCCGAGGCGCGATTATTGCTAATTGAAAGGAAGTGCTGAACAGAAGAGAAGAAATACCCAAAAAATAAATAAATAAATAAATAAATAAAAGGAAGTGCTTTCCTTCTGTTTGTTCTAGGTCCTATTCTTGAAAAAGTCACAATTCTTTCAAGAGCCCTAAAGAGAGGCAGAGAGGCCCAGTTGCCAGAAATGATTTTTAAATGTATGTCTCTTTATTTCCCTAGCACAATCAAATAGCTCAGAAGAGGCAGAGCCCTGGGTCTAAGAGAAGAGGAAAGAGAGACACAGGAAAGATGTCTGCTTGGAAGTGTAGTCAGTCAATAAAGTCAGTCAACCTTTGCTGAGCTTCCACACTGGGCTAGGACAACAGTTCTCCCATATTCAAAAGGAATGCTGTTACTCACCATGCCTCTCAGTAAAACAGAGGTAAGACTAACAAAGACTGGCACTAAATTTTTATAATTCAGCAAGATTCTCTTGCATTTCGGTGACTTTGACTTTAAGGATTTTTAGCTTAATAATGTGGCAAAGGCACTGGAAATAGAAATTAAATATTGTCTAGAAGCCTTCTTCCTTCAATTCATATTTCTTCAACTTACTTTTCTAATCCCCAAACCCCACCTTCCTTTCACCCCGTAAAGTCTGGTCCGTAAAGTCAGAAGCAAAGGATTTCAGGGCAGGCCCTTATCTCTCCAGGGTTGTGAAAACCACCAACTATTCCTTCCTCTTCCTATTCACTGGTCATTCATTAAAAGTCTCTCTTTATCACCCATGCATGGTTTCTGATTAATTTCCAAATGTTTAATTTTGTTCTTAGGCTATCAATTCTGTGATAGATTAAAGCCCATTCCACACACTGGAAAAGCAATTATCAAATGTTTTCACTAAAACCACCCAATTTTAGAGCTAGAAAAGATGTTAATATCATATTTGAGAACAACACGGTAACTCAACCAAAGTCATGCTCAGCCCAAGTCCGAGAACCATTCTGATCAACAGTAGCCTCTTCTAATACTTATGAACTGCCATAATAATCCTTTGCTTTGATGATAAGAAAATGTGGCTACTATGACTTGTTAGTGACACCAAAAAGCAAATTTCAGCAATGAAATCCTGTCATATATCCGAAATATATACCAACAGAACAAACCCAAGTTGAGGCTACCTACAATGTAATCCTCTTTTAAAATCTAAAGTAAATGAAGACTTATCTTTCATGTATTCTTTCCAGAAAACTTTCAAGAAAAAATATAAACTGTTCTTACCCACCATAATGAAAATAACTCTCTATGTTATACCTTTTGTTTTTGAATTGGTGATAATTTTAATGACTTCTTGTTGGAATTCAGGCTCATCATATGTGTCTGCAATAAATAAAAAGTATATGTTCTAAAAAGAATAAAGACTATATATAAGATTATATATTTATACATTCTTATATATAAAGTGAACAAAACAGTTCAGACAGTAATATAATCTACTCTCAGCTGCATACTAATGATATGAGGATCAAAATTAATTGTATTATATATAATCTATACTTCAATAAAATAATAAACATATAACATATAAAAATAACAAACAAAATGAAACCAAAACCTTTTATAATGCAAGGAACAGCACAGAATGTACACATATACAAATACATGATGAACTGAAATCCAAACATATCTATATAGATAAATAAGAAAACCATTACCATATTTAAGACATCAGTAGTTTCTCCAAGGCTTTCTGAATCTGCTGCTGAAGAATTGTCTTCCTCTTTCCCTTTGGCCATTTTATCCTGGAAATAATCTGATTAAAAGGGAAAAGAGAAAACCAGCTTTCAATGGAAAATTGAAAGACAACTGGACAATAAATTATTCTGTAATATAAAGTGCAGGCATAATTTGACTAAAGTCCTTTAACCTCATGTTAAGGGAATTGAACAGAATTCATTCATAGTGATAAGAGGTTTTAAAGTCTCTTTCTGAAAGTTCAAAGACTTCCATGCTGATGAGATAGCAACTGCTTCCTTCATATGAACAGGCAAACACTATACCTTTGGGAGAACTACTACCTAGGTATCAAGCACTGTAACAGTGAGTCCCCAAAAAGGGTCCCAGTGACCCACATCCTCCTGATATGGGTCCCCTTGTGTCGTTCCCTTCCACATTTTACCAGGTTGTTCCATATGGCCAACAAAACAAAGCAGCCATAATTGTGATGTTATTGCAGCTTCTATCTCGGTCCCCCCACTCTGTCTTTCTTGCATCACTTTCTCCGGGGGAAGCCATGCTAGGACCATTCCTAGGGAGAAGTCCACGCACTGAGGAAGTAAAACCTCCTGCCAATGGCCACTCGAGTGAGCATGGAAGAGCATCCTTCAGCCCCAGTGGAGCCTTCAGGTGACTACAGCCCCATCTGAAGCATGATTACAACTGCATGAAACACTCTGAGCCAGAACCCCTCAGCTAGGCTGCTCCTGGATTCTTGACCCTCACAAACTCTGTGAGATGAGTTTTAAGGCCACTTGTTATGTGAAAAATCAGATAACTAGTACAAGCACCTAGAAACTTTCATGGAAAACTGCCAGGTTATTATGTCATCGAGCAGGTAACTAAAACTTACGAGCTCTATTTGATGTTACATTTTTCTCAATTACTACACCCCCATTTAGCACCCACATATTTATTTGAGAGGAGCTCCTGAACGAAGTCTTTGCTAAAAATGCTAGTCCCCACTGATCTCAGCCTTATAAATTCATTCAATTCAAAGGAGCAAATAATCAGTTTGTGTTTATTTCATGTGAAGTGCTACGTGCAAGATAATCAACTTAATTAACGGCTCATTCTTAGTGAACTTATCATCTAAAGGGAATATAAAATATAGGATATACTGGCATGAGAAATCACACCCGAATGTCGGGAATCAGGAAATGTTTCACTAAAGAGGTGCGGGGAAGAGTGAGTAGAATTCTGAGATGCAGCGGTGGAGGTGGACGGAGAAGAAACTGAGGCCCAGTGCTAACAGAAGCAGCAGAATGGCTTCTACTGAAGGCTGACCATGTGCTGGGAACACATGCTTTCACACGTGTCGAGTTACCTCCATGACAACAAGAGAGGTAAGCAGCGTATCCCCACTTCACAAATGAATAAATGAAGTGCCAAGTGTCGGTCTCAGGTCTGTCTTGACTTCACAGCCTTCTCCACTAAGTCTGACTGTGAAGAGCTCAGTTTGATCAAAATTAAGAGTTGGGAAACTTTCTCTGTAAAAGGCCATCTAGTAAACATTTTAGGCTTTGTGGCCATATACAGTCTCCATCCTAACGACTCAAACTCTGCCGCTGTCATGTCAAAGCAGCCATAGGTAATACATAAAGGAATGGCGTGACTGGATTCCAATAAAACTTTATGTACAAAAACAAGTGGCTGGCGGGATGTGGCTCATGAGCCGTACTTTACAGACCTGTGACCTACATTAAGGTTATAAGAAAAAGAGTACTGAGAGATGAAGCTACAAAAGCAGGTGGGAGTTCCATGGGGTAACTTACACTTATTTTCACAAATATTAGGGATTCTCAGAAGCCCCTGGAGCAGATGGGAACTAAAGCTGTGCCTGAGGAAGATTGGTGTAGAAAGTGCTTAATGGGATAGACTGGAGAAGGCAGAGAATGGAGGTTTGGAAAATAGAGAAATCATTGAAGCTCACGGCCTTGCCTTACACTTGACTGAGAAAAAAGTCATCAGACCTGATCTGCCTTATCTTTCCCCCCAACAAATGTACACATTTACCTCCATTTTCCTGTTGAAATACAGGATGCGTCTTTCCTTTTAGCAAAGACTGCTCTGTAGGCCAGCCCCATCTCTCCATGTCCATTAGCATACAAAAATACTCTACTATTTCCCATTGACCCTGCATCTCCTCTAGTTGCCAGCCCTTTTCTCTGCTCCTCTTCCTGACCAAAATATGCAAAAGAATTCTCTACACACCCTATCTCCTTTTCACTTCCTCATTTCCCATTCATGCCTCAACTCTTAGCCCTCTGGCTTCTGCCCTTATCTTCCCCTGAAGCTACTCTTGTCAAATCACAGGTACTCTCCACGATGCCAAATCCATGGGATGCTTCTTTGAGCTTTCTCCTTGGCCTATGAGCAGTACTTTGAATTCATGACCCTACTCTCTCCTGATTCCCCTCCTCTTACCCTACTAGCTGATGGGGGCTGAGGAAAATTTCTTTGCTGGCTCTTCCTCCGTTACCCTCTAAATGTTAGATGTTCTTCAGCCTGACTCCTGGCTCTCTTGTCTTGCTACTCTGTTATCTAACAGGTGATTTCACCAAGTCCCACGGATTGTAAATATCAACTCTGTGTTGCTGGGTTCCAAATGTATCTCCCTAGTTCAGACCTCCCTTTCGAACTTTAGGCTTGCATATTCAACTGCCTGCTCCGTATTTCTGCTTGGATGTCCTGCAGGTATCTCAAGCTCGATTTTTTTTTTCCTCAAGCTTGTCAACCATCCTCTTGTCTAAGAATCATCCTTGATTCTCTATGTGTAAATTCAGTCAGTTCTAGGTCTCAAATGCATTCCCAGTCTGCCCCCTTCTCTCCAGCTCCACAGCAAACATCCTGGACCACACACCATAACCTCTTGCAAAGGGCTCTTAAGTATTCGTCCTACCTTTGGTCTTTCCTGCCTACGGTCCACACAGAGGCAAAAGTGAACATCTTAAAATGTAAATTGGATTGGAGCACATCACTCCACTGATTGAAACCCTTTAATGACTTTCTATTGCACTTAAGAAAAGCACTCAAATCAAATAGGCTTCTCACAGCCTATAAAATCACAAATACTTTTTCACTCTTTTCTCCAACATCTTGTCTAGCCTTTTCCCGCATTCTCTAGCTCCAACAGTCTTCTTTCCTTTTCTTATAAACTGCCTCCAAGTCTTAGCCTATATGATTTTGTTTGCCTAGAATGCATATAACCTCTCTCTTCATGTGGCTGTCTTTCTTATCCTTTATGTTTTAGCTTAAATGTCACCTTCTCAGCAAGGTCTTCCCTGACCTTCCTCCCTCCATGATAAACACTGAAGTCTGCAAATAATTTAGAAAAAGTGTTATATGTTAGATATAACTTTCAGAATACTTTTAAGACAGTTTTAGCAAACAGTCACAAAAAGATAAGGAATAGCTTTTCCTTTGGCTCTAGCTACAAAACTCCGTATATGTTCACATTCAAATCTCTTGAAGTGGGAAACAACTTCCCCCAAACCATAAACTTCTCTTTTCCTTGTATACACTGTTGTCAGACTCCACTTTTTCCATGTACAGGCCTGAAGGGTGTCAGTAATGCTTATCTCAAAATGAAGCATACAAAAGTTCTGTGTGAGATGCGAGAAACTGGCTCATTATTAGGGGCACCTGGGTAGCTTAGTCAGTTAAGTGTCTGACTCTCGATTTTGGCTCAGGTCATGATCTCAGGGTCCTGAGATTGGGCTCTGAGCTCAGCATGGAGCATGCTTGAGATCCTCTCCCTCTGCCCCTCCCCCCACATGCATGCTCTCTCTCTCTCTCTAAAACAAGTAAAATAAACCTTTGGAAAAAATACAGTTTAAGAAACTTGCTAATGATCAAGGTCCTAGTTGTAGATAATATTCTATTCCCATGGCCCACAATTCTTGCTTTTACTACCTCAACTTTTGCCTAGGTTCTTAATCCCAAAGATAACTAAAAATTATCTGTGCCGTGGTTCTTAATCCCACGTGCCCAAATCATCTTAATTCCAAACCTACTGTTTACTCTGATCTCTTGATCCTGGCTTCTTGCCCTGCCCCTACTATTCAAGCATATGCCCTTTGGTAACATATACACACTCAAGATACACAAATGCCTATAAACAAAATTATTTACAAGAGGTGTATAATAGGGGTGCCTGGGTGGCTGAGTCGTTAAGCATCTGCCTTCGGCTCCAGTCATGATCCCAGGGTCCTGGGATCGAGCCCCGCATCGGGTTCCCTGCTCCACGGGAAGCCTGCTTCTCCCTCTCCCACTCCCCCTGCTTGTGTTCCCTCTATCGCTTTCTCTCTGTCAAATAAATAAATAAAAATCTTTTTTTAAAAAAAAGAGGTGTATAATAACCAAAGAGCTGGGATTACAATTTAAAATATAATGTGTATCTAAAAAGCAGTGAGGTAGAAGTGTTAATAATAACCATGACTATAACTTATAAAGAGCTTCCTAGAGGTGCTAGGCTCAGTGCTAAGTATTTTATATACCCTATCTCATTTAATCTCAATCACTCTAAAGAAGTATTATTAAACTCATTTCAAAGATAGGAAAACTGAGGGTTAGAGAAATTAAGTAACTTCCCCAAAGTAAGGCACACAGTTAATAAATGTCAGAGCTGGCATCTGACCCCAGATCAGTCTAACTCCATACCCTATGCTCTTTTTTTTTTTTTCTAACATGCATGCAAGGGCAGGGAGGGGAGGGGGAGAGGGAGAGGGGGAGAGAGAATCTTAAGAGGGCTCCACGCTGGGCGGGGCTTGATCCCACAACCCTGAGATCATGACCTGAGCCGAAATCAAGAGTTAGACGCTTAACCAACTGAGCCACCCAGGCGCCCCCATACCCCATGTTCTTGACCACTCTGGTATACTGCCTAAATGCAAGACTTCACATAGGTCCAGAAGATTCACATTCAACTCCGGCTCTCTTCATTTATAAGTTGAGTAACCTTGGCCAAGTCATTCAGTCTCTTCAAGCCTTGCTTTTCTCATCTATCCAAATGAAGAGTTTAGAACTCCCACCTATTTCATGGAGCTGCTTCAGGGTTTAAAGGAGGTAACATAAGAGAAGGTACCACGTATGTTATACATTTGCTCTATACAAATATGCTGCTATTGTTACATGGGATTTTTAGGGTCACTGGTGAGGCTTTGTATTTGTAAGAGTATTCCCGGACTGGAACTCAAACGAGAGATGTTAGCCTCCAACTAGGAAGAAAACAAGTTAATTGGCAAGAACATCCTAAGATAATCATGACACCAATAGGAATAAAAAGTACACTTTTCCTGTGAGCAGGCAGAGTTATCAGCTGTTACCTGGTTCCACTGGCAGCATGGGGTCCTCCTTTTCAAGTATCATTTTCCCTGGCCACTTACTTGCAGACATATAGAAAGGAACTGGCCTGGGGGAAAAGCAAACTGGTGGCACAGAAGTTCCTTCAATTGGAGGTAGAGTTTGTGTCATTTGAAAAGAATCGGGTGATTTCTCCTTTAAAATAAACAGGTTAAATAAACTATTAGATGATGTTATATGTTTAGTATTGACAGAAACTACCCCCCAGTTGCTAAAAATATTTAAGAGAGAGACTTCAAAGTTGCCCACTGTCCCACATTCATTTTTAAATTATCCCCAAGGACTCAAAAATGTTTTGTTTTGTTATCTCTGTATCTAAGTTGCTCTAAATTGTTAAATTAGAAGCCTGTTTTTCACACGATGGGGAGAAGTATATGTGTATTCTCTCTGCTTTCCTTAGGAAACAAAAAATTAGTCACGAGACCTAAACAAACAATAACTACAAAATACTGCTATTTCTCAGTCTTTCCATATATACTTTTTCATAACAAAAAGCCAAACTTAACCTTTTTACTTCAAAGGGAATGTTTTGGAACTTAAAGCAACTCTTTAAAAAAGGAACATCTCCTTTAAAAATTATTTGGCATTTTCTGTTTTTTTTTTAAATACAAGTGTCATTGAAATAATTTTAAAGCAGAATGAGAACCTTTAAATTTAAACGAGAAAGAATATTCCCTATCTCGAACTGAAGTCCTTATTTCTCTGTTTCCCACATTTCATTGTTTATAGTGTATAACCTTCCACGGCTCTTGAGGTGTAACTAAAAGATAAAAAGCAAAGTAAGTCAATCCATATGGAATTGAGAAAATAATTCAGCATTCAAGCTGAAGTGTGAAGATAGGCCTCTAAAAGGATGCTTTGTATCTTTGCTTTGTATCCACTCTCTATTAAGTCAAGGTTATCCATGATTATTTGAATTTTCTCATTTGTGTGTTTAACAGCTTAACTCTGAATTTGCTTTAAGTTTGTAAGCCTGCACCTCTAACCATTTTACTTAGTAAATCTATCTTAAAAGACCCTTCTTTGATTTAAAAAGAAAATGCATTTTTTCCCCATTCTCTTTGCAGTGCCATGATACAGAACTGGCCCCAACTCTATACCCTCTCTCTTCGCCGCACACGTGCTGACAGAGTTCTGTTCAGTACATTTCCTGAGCTCAGATCGCTGAGGGGCAGAGAAGGTGCTGCAGGGAAGTAAGAATCATTTATTTTTTCTAACTCCATTTCTTCTGTCCCACCGAGTCGTGGAGTGGCAAAAACAAGCATGTGGCACCCACCACAAGCCACCTGCAGCAAAAAACCACATATTGATTAATCAACATTGATTTCAAACACAAATGGGTTTTTAACAGTTTTCAGCTACAAAATATTTACTTAATGGTAGACTTCCTAGGTAGTCAGTGTGTCTCTCCCCTCCTCCCAGATACACACACACACGAATTATAATATGTCTTCTTTAAATACTACAATTGAAAATTAGAACAAGTTTAACACACCATTTTACTTCCAATTTATCTGGCACATTATGTTCCTCCTCAAAGTCAGAAAATGTTATTTTAATCTGAGAGTAACACAAACACCTTAAAAAAAATTACCCAGAGAAGTTCTACTTGGAAAAAAGTGATCCAAGAAGAAATCAGTCTCTTGGGATAATTATGTCTCCAAACCTTTTTATTTACATGAACACTTCTGAAGTTCAATGCTTAAAAGTCCTTAGAGCAAAATGTAAGCATGCACTATGGTGGAACAAGGAAAAATGAAACCAACATTCAAAGGATTTTGAGAAAGAACTGATTTTCAATAAAATGCCTAAAAAACCATTGTGTAGTATTTGTAATACACAGATTTTTTTAGCAACTTTATAGTGTTCTACACGGTGGTTATAAGAATAGCATACTCTGAACATTTCTTTCATAATATTGTGAAATTATTATTATTTTAAATAAGTCTTTATTTATAGGTGATTGTCAGACACTCTGCTGGTTGCTGGAGCAGACAACCAAGCTTCCAGGCATGGCACAGTTCTGGTTCTCAAGAGACACAGGGGAACAAAGCAGGAGAGTCAAGATTAGGGTGAGAACTCAGGACGATGCTCAAAGGAGGAGAATTAGGAAAGGGACAGATTTTCTGAGTGGCATGATGTCTGACATTTGGCTTTTAGGAAATGAGTATACTGATTAGATATAGCCATGATATTCTTTCAACAAACATAAAAGTATCTATTTTCTATGAAATACTGCAAGACTCAAATATATAGGAATATGAAAATGTAAACAGGGAAATGTGATGTCCTTACCAGTTGAACTATAAACCTCAAAAAATTAGAGCACAAAGTGGGAATGAACTGATTGGTAAAATTCTCCAGTCCAAGTCCTAATTTTCCATGTCGGCCATCTCCAAAAGTATACATGAGACCTATATCTAAAATGCAAAAAAAGAGAGAGATCTATAAAAGCCTTACTTGTATGCATCTATTTGTAAATAGGCAAATATATTTACTTATATTGCAATTACCATTTCCCCCTCAAATGCTGCACTGAGTTTACTCTGATCCAATGATATTTCCACACTCTCTGTGGTCTCTGTGGTCCTGCATGTAACATTAGGCAACAGACACTGTGAGAATAAATCACTAAGCCATCGGTGGTTTGTGAACTTGAAGCCCAGTCATGTGAGGCACTGTGTGGAATAGCAGCAACCCAGCATGAGCCATCTCTTCATACACACCATCTTCTCAAGGGGAAGGGGATTTTTGTATTCTGACCCCCTATGTTCCAATACAATCTATTTTTTCCCCCTCAGGTTTCTCAACCTTGGCACTCCTGACATTTGGTGCCAGATAATTCTCGGTTGTGTGGGACTGTCTGGTGCACCGTAAGATGTTTAGCAGCATCCTTGGCTTCTACTAAATGTCCATAAAACACCCTGCCTCTGTAGCTGGGACAATCAAAAATGTATGCAGACACTGTCGTGTGTCCCTGGGTGACAAAATGGCCGCTGGTGGAAAACTACCAGCTTAGATCAATCCAACTGTCTCTTTTACTGATTCAGCTCCTGGGCTGTGGAACGCTGCTGAGGGAAGTGCCATAAACCAACCATGCTGACTAGTCCCTATAGCAATGGCGAGGGCCCCTCTATGGCTCACAATAATGATAAGTAGTCTTGCTGTTTCTCTCCAGTTAACCCTTTTGCCCACTGCCAGAGCAGCTATTCTGAACCTTCACTCCTCTTCTCAAGCCCTCCTTAACACCCTCTCTCTCAAGTGGTGGAAAGTGCCATGGAAGCAGAAGGAAAGGAAAGGGGGCCAGGATGGGGGCAGAAGAGGGGGATTTCCTTCTAGTCTGGGGATTAAGGAAGGCTTTCAAACAGACCTGAAGGACGATTAGGGTATTAGCTGCAAGAAAACACATATGAAGGCTTTGAATCAAGAGAAAACATTACACAGTCAAGAAACTGAAAGGCAACCGATGTGCCTGGAGCACAAAGGGGCCAGTGGTATGAGCTGAGTCTGAAGAGGTAGGAAGGAACCACACTACAGAGGACCCTGTTGGTTCATATTAAGAATTTCTGAACTCCATCTTAATGGCAATAAATTGAATGAATGGTTTTAAGCCAGGAAATGATAAGATCATTTCTAAGGGAACTTCTAGTTTAAGATGGCAAAGTAATCTCATACTAAGAAAATCCAAGAGAATCGAAGGAAAAATGAGGAGAAAAAATAATATAATTCAGTAAAATTTTCAAAAATTAATACAGAGGGGCGACTAGGTGGCACAGCCAGTTAAGCTTTGACTCTTGGTTTCAGCTCAGGTTGTGATCTCAGGGTCATGAGATTAAGCCCTGAGTCGGGCTCTGTGCTCAGCGCACGGAGTATGCTTCAGATTTTTTCTCCCTCTCCTTTTGCCCCTCCTGCTTGTGTGCTTGTTCTCTCTCTCTCTCTCTCGATCACTCTCTTTCTCAAATAAATAAATATTTAAAAAAATACAGAAAATAAATGCCCTATTAATAAGCAATAACCAGTATTTAAACCCCAAATTTAGACTCTTATTAAATTTCTTACTATTAGCTACCTATTTCCTTTCTTTACATATACTCTTTTATCATCCTTTTCCCTTTTCCTCTTCTTTTGACCCTTGATTTTTTTTACCCAAAGTGCTTTTTAGGCTTTGTGTTTTAACTTATCTTTAGCCAGAAAAGATAAACTCTGATCCAAGCTACCTGATTGTACTTCGAACTTGAAAGCTTTTTTAAACCATGAGCCACTGGCTACATAATGGGGAACTGGTAAGAACTTACAGAATAACTCACTACACACCTCTTGTTAGTCCTGAAAGAAAAAAAATTCATAACACCTGTCCCCTGACGAAGCTTTATGAGCAAAAAGCAAACAAAGTTAATGGTCAATTATTAGTGCTGTAACTTCTTTCATCAGGGGGAAAGGTAGTATGAAAGTTTAACCAAATAATCTAATTGTGTGTTAGATGATCCATAAAAAGTACGTGTTTCCCATCAATGGCAATTTAGGGTTGATGAAAAAGAGCAGTAAGGACAGCGAAATTGACATTAGGACCCTGCAGTAAGGGATACGTATCAACAACTCTTCTGGGACTATGAGTGAATAATAATTCTTTACATTCTATATAGTTCTATTTCACGCTACATTAACAAAGACATTGACACTTGAAAATGGGCAGGTAGTTCTCTCTGAAAGGCTCTTTGGGGAAGAAGGAACAGTATACGGTAGTATACATTGTATTTGCGGATTACTAGTTGCCCCAACTAGATACCATTAGATGAGCTCCATTTAGCAGTAGCTTTTTTAGAAAGAAGGAAACAAATGTAGAAATACCAGTATCTGGCTTATTGCGAAATACTGTATGATTTCTGTCTTTTTAATGCTTAATTTCATTTTTAGATAGAAACGTGGGCTAGAAATAATGAAATTACAGGGGCTTTTGTTCCAAAGCAATTACAGTTGTGGAGTGTATCAATTACCTACAGGTAAGTGAGTTATTTCTAGGGGAGAATCTTTATTGGGTCCATATTAGCAGCACCTAGTTTTTGAGGTTGAGAAGCAGGCCCAAAGCCGTATCTCCCTGGGTAAAGGAGAAAGTACAGAGCAAAAGGTCTAGAGGAGCCAGGTATCCACCTAGTGGCCTTTGAGGTGTGTTTCTATCACTGTGGAGAAAGTAGCAGTCACTCCTGGAAACGCCTCCTAGCGGCAAAAGCTTCATAGGAATTTACTCAGCCTGTATGTAGCTGTGTCACACTGAACATGGAGAACGTTTTAAAGTTCTTTCCTGTAAGACTTTTCCCTCTGGCCTGAGCAGAGTTAAGAGTCTTCAAACTGACGCAATTTCAAAAAGATTCCAGTTTTCTGCCAAAGTATAATACTATGATATTACCTCTGACAGCACTGACTTGTTTTGAGGTTCTAAATCTTTGGATCATTTACACTGATTTGAAATTGAACTGAAATGTTAAAAAAGAGTTTACAACTTTACACTTTGGCAACTTTGGCATATTAAACAAGAACTCCCATTTTCTCAATTATTGATTCCTTTGCTTACGTTAGATACATTCGTTCCAACAGTTTGTATTTTGTAGTAAAACATACCCCATTCTAGAAATATGTAACAGAAATTCTCATCTGTACCTGTTATCAGAGCTGTGTGATTTTCTCCACAGGAAATAGAACTTATTTTCTGATCCTTAATATGCTCAATGACTTTGGGTACCGAAGTTTCAAAACGAAAGGTACCAAGACCCAGCTGACCAAACTGTCCCAGCCCAAAGGTATACACGGCTTTCTCTGAAAGGGAATGAGCAAATACAAGAAAAAGAATGCAGGGAAGCAGACGCTGTCACCATTGTATCTAGAAAACTGTTGCATTCAAACTTTTGTGATGAAAGTTAAGTGCCTCTGAAATATCCATGTAAGAATACCTAATGCTGAGGTATACATTCTCAATGATGAAGGAGGAGAAAAATGACAAGGCACACGATTATAAAAGTTATGGCATGGGCCTGATTTTACCTTTTACGTATGACCGTAAAAAGAATTGCTAAAGACATATCAGTCAGTGAACTACCTAACATGTCCCTATAATTACCATTCAGCTCTTTAAAAACAGCATCAATTGTCATTAAGCTAATTCCTTTCATTGCCTTAAAAAAAAGAGTAGTGTTTCCTACAGAAGAACTCCTTACTTCTCAAAAATAGTTTAACAGAATAATCTATTTTGTAAAACAATTTCAGAGGAGAATTTGCATGAGAATTGAAACTCACCGTAGATATGCTTGATTTACTCATAGGTCAAGTTCCTTTACTAGGAAGCGCAACAATAATGAAAGGGGGGACAAAAGCTTTTCCTTTTTGTTAATTTTTTTTGACTCCAAAGACCTCCAATAACTTAGTAAACATTAGTTCATATGTTCTCGAGAAATGGAAAAGCACAAAAACAGGATAAATGGGTGGTGACGAAAGGGTCCCTTCAGACACAACTCTGGCTGGCCCTGAGTCAGGAAGCGTGGTCTCCTTCTCCAAAGTCCCACACATCACCTCTCTGCACTACAGGAGGAAGAGCAAGAGCTTTGGATTCAGGCAGGAGTCCAAACCTCCATTATTACTGGCTGTGGCCAGCACGCCAGTTACCTAAATTCTCTGATGTTATGATTCCTCTCTAATAAAGGTGCTGTGAGGCTTACATGAGAAAGCATTCAGGCAGATTTGAACACACACTAGGACATTCCGTTGTAAGAACATTTTTCTAAAAAGTAACTAATCGACTCATCTTATTTCTGACAGTGGAGGATCCTGATGAACACACAACTATCTACTGTCGTATGGCTTTACATTTTTCCTGTCTAATAATACTTACTTCATAAACAAGACAGAGAGATAATACCTCTTAAAGAAAATATGCTGTGTCAGGATACAAAGCCACACTGAGGCTATGGCAAAACATCCTTATTTTAACGTAAAAAGTACCATCTCTTAGTTTAATTAATAATCGCATGGCATGTCACCAGTTCTGAATGTCAGGTTAGCAGTAGAGTGCTGGGTAAATGAAGACATCTGTCCATCTCTAGCTGGCTGCTGATCACTCTAGGTTACGTGGGCTGAGATAGCCTGTGAAGTGAGGCCATTCAGGCAGCCGGAGTCACGTGCCAGAAGTTTTGCTCCTTACCCTATCGGGTTCGCTTTCAGGTACTTGGCTGATTAGCAGTGATGACAGTTTCTACTTTTTTTTTTTTTTTTTTTACCTAAGGACATTACATATAACAACTCATCCAATTGTTGGTCTTATCATCTTTGTAACATTTAACAATGTAATTCGATGTTGACAAATGATACTCTCTTAGGAAAACAGGTTTTAGTAGGTGGCTTCATATGAATATTATTCTGATTTCTCAGAATACATTTGATTTCATGACTAGTAACTTGTTGCCCTGTAGAGATCCTGAGTTTGTCCAAATATAATCTAGAGAAGTTAAGTTCTTATTTTCCCTTGGGATCCAGACTTCATTGTGGACCCCATCTTATAACTTTCTTAGCTTTTGCTAATGCTGGCGATGACATTTCAGATTACGTATATCACTCTGCTTCACTTAGTGTATCCCAAGTTCCAAGCTGACACTTTCTCAGCAGTCCACTGTTTTCCCGATTCAAAGTAGAAACTAATCATACCATCGCCACAACCAATAGTTTTATTTTCTAACCTCTTATGGTCACGTGGAGTATTATGTTTTAAATAAATTCACTGGCAATAAACTAATTTAAATTATCTTTAAAGTAGTTTAATGAATGGTACCCAAACAGATTTTGAGATCAGAGTTATAGACAAAAGGAAAAACAATGCTAGGGAGGGCCCCCTAGAATCATCTAATCCAAGCCCTTCCCTTTGGTGAAGGGAATGGTCTAGAACAGATGGTTAGCTATTCTTTCCTTTAAGGTCTTCAAAGTATTCTATAACTCTTAGGTATTCAATTTAGTACTTAGTCAAACTGATAATCAATATGTGCTTCAGGTCTGTTTCGTCATCAGTTAGGACTATTTCTATCTACACTGTACTCCGGAACACAGGTTTCTCACCAGGGCTGGCGCATAATAAAGCTTGCACAGGTCCATGGAGAAATGTGAAAAACAGACAAAGCAGTAAATTTTCCATACAGGTAAGTGAATATAATTTAAGAGGGTATCTTTTACAATAAAATTGAGAGTTTTTTAATTTTTGTTTTGAAATGCCCCCTTATTTATGATACAATGGTGAAAAGGTTGCATTTTTTCGCAATGCCGTATTTAGCCAAATGCAGATCAGAAGATCGCAACCATCTGTTGGTCTTCATATTCTTGTCACAAAATTAAAAACTTAAAATACAAAAACTCACATACTGGTATGTGAGATCCCAAAGTCTACAAAAATCTAGAGAGAATAATTTCTGGCAACATAGTTTTTAACCTCAAAATTAAGTCCACAGAAAGCTAAATGTCTATAATATTTCAAGAAAATATCATACTTCAGGGCATTTTTAAATTTTAAGTATAATTAAAAGTATCATGGATTATCTGGGTGCTCATTTTATGTAATGATATTTTATAATATATAGTTGAATGATGTTATTTTTACATAATCAACATTTGTGTGCTTTAGAGTAACCTTCAATCACCTAATAAATTTTATAATGTTTGTTTAAACTAGAGAAATTACAGAACACATAAGGAATAAGTTGAATTTCTGCCTACAGAATACATTTTCAGATAATTTATAGATTAATTTCTAAGTTTAAAATTCCTAAAATAAATCTTCTTAAAAATATATGGAAATCCGGGGCACCTGGGTGGCTCAGTCGTTAAGCATCTGCCTTCGGCTCAGGTCATGATCCCAGGGTCCTGGGATCGAGCCCCACATCGGGC